TAGGCTTGTCTATGAAAGGTGTTTTGTAAATTCCCTTTGAGACTAAAACTGAGAGATTAGAGAGAACGGTTCTTTTGTGAGAAGTGTCCACCCACCAGTAATTGGATATTTTTGTCTTCACTTAATCTCTCCTGCTAGAACATCATGAGCTAGCAATACAGAGTAACCACTTTTTCGCTCTCCATATCAGGTCATTAACATGATTATCTTTAAAGGAAAAGAGTCACATCTCAAGAGATCATTCAGTTAGATTCTGTGGAGCACTAAAATCTTTTAAAAGAGGACATCATGTCATCAGCATGAAGAAGTATAATTGCCAATCAGCTCTAAGCAAAGTGAAATCTCTGAAGGGACCTGCCCTTCTGTGATGTTAAGTCTTAGCAGCAGGGTGCTGCCTTCCTGATACATGAAATCTTTGAAACAATTACAGGTTTTGCATTAATTTATCATATAATTCTTATCTGTAAATAGGTTTTCTGCAATTCCAGTCCATAATCTGGGGTTTCCTGCCTCTGCCTCTTAGGCAAGCAGAAGAGTGCAAGAATTTTTTTCACTAGCTCAGCTTGCTTTAGCAGTCTCCAGATTGCTTTTAAGCAAGCCATGCTGGGCTTATTCAAAAAGATGAAAGATCTTCATTAAAAGCATTAATGTTTTGTGCAGTGAAACCTAATACTCGTTCTCTTTTAAGTGCATATATTCAGCAAACACTCACAGGTATCTCCATGAATATCTCCCCAGTCACCAGCTGGGTCTACATCATGACACAAATTCACTTCACACACATGCCTAAGAAATAAACTAGTAAGCCTACTGTTGGAGATAAACAGTTTTCAGGTCTTTAATGCTTGTCCACCTTGTAGGTTGTGCCCATCAGTGCAAACTATGAGGTACCCAGGTGCATACACCCAAAATAATGGGAATAAGCCACACTGCTGCGAAGTATAGTTTATATTGTTATGGTACATTTAAACCAGGTACTTCATTATAAATCAGCCCAAGAATATAGCAACAAAGCCCCTTTCTAATTATATTCACTCTTTGCTATGAATGTACAGTTACCACGTTATGTGATGTTTCATCATCTAGCCTATAGCAAAGTTCACCCAAATCAATCCCAGTGTACTAAAACTATGCTTAACCACAATACATTGCTAATTTGCTGCATTGCTCAATATTTTCACAAAAAAAGCAAAAATGATTAAACATTTTTGCAAATGCTACATTTTCCCTTTGTTTTTTGACCACCTGAAGAGCCATCCTTTTTCTTTAAACAGAAAATCAGATGAGAAATCTGGATCTTCACATGTACGATTAGTAAAATATTGCCATTGCTCAGGATTTTCCTTGTATTTTATGCTCTTCCTGTGACCTTTGCATTTAGTAAAAATTATGCTATCAAAGTAACAGAAGAGATCCATATTTTTCCAATATTTTAAAAATGATTTTGTCCTTGTGGGATTCTTATTTTATTGGTGTTTATTAGGTCAGGTCAGATATTCATGGGACATTGTAATATTTGTGTCAACAGCCTGTAATACATCAGGTCCCTTTGAAACTGCCTTCAATTGCTCTTGCAAAGTCCCCTGGTGCACAAATCCATGCTGCATATTGATCAAAGTCGTCCTCATGTTCAATAATAATTTCAAGCTACTTAATGATAGCTTAGGGCAGAGTCTTGCCTAGAGTTGCACACCAAATCTCATTGGAAGGCACAGGTATCCATCTTCTATCAAGCAAAAAACATGAGGTTGCCAGTAGCTGCTGAAAATGTTATAAACATTAATGGTTTTTTTCTCAAGAAGCCTCACAATGAGGCTCTGAAACACCCTTATGCCTGAAATTTAGGCTGTGTACCTGAGAAGTTCGCTCACAGTTTTCATTTTATTTTAGTCATCTGAATAAAATAGCAAAAGAGCTCCTCATTTTGCCCTGCTTTCTTGGGTGGCTTCTTGAACATCTTGGTCACATCCAGACATGCAGGCAGGTGCACTTTCAGCAGTTCAAATAGGAGCAACACAAATTCGAGCCAGGGATTTTTGCCTCAGCGCACGTGTCCAGACATGCACTTTGATGTGGGGCAAGTTGTGCCACTTGGGGCAAAATAACCCTGCCCAGCTCCTCCTGGATCTGCCCCAAGGGCCACTGCTGCTGCAGGTGAGCTGTGAGCAGGGGGGGCATATGAACCATGCAGGGGGGCTGGGGCTGTACAGGGGAGCAGTGGGCCCTGTGGGATGCGAGCAGGGGACCCACCCCTCCCGAACTTCCCCCCACATGGTCCCCTGCATCTTCACAGCCCCTACTTACCTGGAACAGAGCCCAGGTCCAGGTTGCAGCAGCCTACATTGCTATTTGCCTTGAATGGACAGGCAACATGCTGCAGCATCGGGGCAAGGAGCAGGCATAGAGTCTGGCACTCTGGCTGGCTACCAGAGCGTCTCTTTGGAGAATCTGAGCTTCCGGTTGCTTCAGGGCATGGTCCTGGACCGTGCCCTGCCCTGCTTTTTCTGGGGCAGTATTTTGATACCTGGATATCCAGGTATCAAATTTTTAGCCCATGCTGCAAATATTTGGTGTGGGGAACAGTTTTTTGTTTCCAGCATGCCTCTCGTCACATCTCAAAACTGCTTTGACATGCAGCAAAAGGCAAGTGCAGGCTTGTCTAGACGTGTCCCTTGGGTGCAACATGCAGTGACATAAGGGACATTTAACAGAAATACCTATTCACTAAATTAATGAAACATAAACCAAGTTCCTTTTCATTTTTAACCAATCATCTTCTATTAATATATCAAGGTTGGTTTTTTTTAGTTTCAAATTTGATTTCCCCTTCCCCTTCTCTGCAACATCTAGTAATGAACCACCAAGGACAAATTTCTGTCCTGAAGTATGCCTAACAGTTAGGAACCTCAATCATTTTATTATTTTTTCATTTTGTGATACATGGGACTTAATGTTATTAGCAAATGGTTGTGTTTCATGAAATATTTATAAAACAAACAGTTGTCAATTATATATATATATATAATTGAAAAAAAAATCTACTAATTTCCAATAGAAACCATCGAGTCTGACCCCAAGCAAATTTTTTTAACTGAGCAATTAAAAATTCAACTTGGAGCCAGAATAAGCTATTTGGATATTTTCTGTCACATAATTAGATACAACCCTACAATTTCCATCTCAATATATGCCTCACCTGAACAGAAGTCATCAGAATATCTGTCATAGACAGCTTTGCAGTTCCTTTCATCACACTCACAGGTATCTCCATGAATATCTCCCCAGTCACCAGTTGGGTCAACGTCATGGCATGTGCATTCACCACACACACATGTGCCTAAGAAACAGAATAGAACAGAAATGAGCCAAGGGATATACACTAATAAGAATCAGTGAAGGAGTTTAAGCTTGTTGTTATTTTGCCTTTACAAAGGTTTGAGATTCCAGTTTCAAGTGTGTATTAGTTAAGGGTCTCCCATAATTTCCAACCTTTATAATGTGGTTAAGGTGATTTCTTTCATCAGTGAATTAGATGCAAAAGATGCAAGTGGTATCACTCTCTTTCTGTGTAGCCCCTTTTGTACTCAATAACAGAGGCATGCAGGACATACAAGATGCCAGAATAATTGAATAAAAACCAGCAGAAAACCCCAAATTCTTTTCCAGTACCAGGGCTGTGAGGTCTCTGGGTAAAAATCAGTAACCTACCTGAAAATGATATTGTTGCTGGGTGACTTCAGCAATTAGTTGATATTCAAGACCTTGCAGAGTTACTTCCATTAGGAGGAGGAATTGGATTATACAAGTTAGGTATTTTTAGTTCAGTTGTGTTATATGGAAAGAAAATATATCAATTCCTGTTTCCCTGGACATAGTAGGAACCGGAGGTGCTGAGTACATGGGGGCCCCAGGGCCCTGGCCCCCCTCATTTGAAACGTGTAAAACTTTCCACGTGTCCATCATCTTAGCTCCCTGCCCCCCCTGGCAAAAATAAAAGTTGGCACCTATGGTAGGAACAAACCGATGGCACTTTCCTTGTTCATAAATCCAAAGCTGCTTTCCAACCAGTCCTGTGCCCTACAAAATTCTCTCATCTGGTTTCCTCTAAGTCATACTTACACTGCCTTTCTCACTGTCTGCTGCTTTCTGCTTCTGCCATACGGATACATACAAACAAAACAACGCCTCAGTTCCTGTAAATGCAATCATTCCCCAGAGAAGCCTCTTGTTGGGCTATATGTTATAGTTAGTCTCTGTCAGGCTTTGCCTGAGGTTAGGACAAGACACTGGACAGTAGTTTCCATTTTGTCTTACTCAGTGAAAAAGCTTTAATTTCTTCTTCCAGTGATTCTGAATGAGGAATAGTTAGCATATGCATGAGCTTCAGTGGTCTGTAACTGCCCACAAAGCAAAAGATGCACTTGCCTGGAGCCACCTGTACCCTCTAGAACAGCATATGAAGAAATGTGGGATGGATAAAAACATATTATACACACTTTTACAGTTAATTCTGTGAAGACACTTAAATTACTATAATAGAAAACTTAAGTCAAGAAAAGGTCATTTCTAAAGAGCAACTGTGAGAGTGACTTTGTAATCAGCTGCTCTATACAACCCCCTAAAATGCTGATCAACTAACTATGAATAAACTAAGTGGAAATACTGAGCTGAAAAATAACTTTATAAAGTCAAGCAACAGAAGGATTTCAGGACAGAAATCATGAATATGTGAAAAAAATCCTTCCATAATTAGTATTTGGAAAGAATTTTGTCATATACATACCATATATTTTTGTACATCTTACAGAAATGTGTACCCATCCATAGCACAAATTCTACTCATTTAATGTCATTTATTCTGTTCTGGTCCAAATAATATGCTCTCCAAGTAAAACTTCTTAAAATTCCCTTTGGTAAGAGTCAACTATTATCATGCAAGAAAAAACAGCTAACTTGACACACAGCATTTCTATATTTATTGTTTCCAGTATCACAGAAGCTGTTTTATTGTTAAAGTCCAAAAATTAAATAAGCCTAAGTTATTTTTGTATTTGATCCAACCTTTCAATTTCCCCATAATTACAATGAGACAGTTTTCTAAATGCTCTCAGGATAATTAAATGCTCACACTATAGCAAGTTTTGTCAGAAGAGATGCATTTAAGAGAGGTATCTATAAGACTTGTACTTTTGCTCTACTGCAATAGTTCTGGATGACAGCCAAGAAATAATATTTTCTATTTTAACTATTTTTTCAGTGAAGCCAAGTATGGCAGCTGGTGAAGACAAATCTTGTTTTTGTTATTAATTCTTCCCAAATTGACAAAATTAAATTGAAGTTATGGAGGAAATTCAAGCCATTGGGCTTTGCAGAGAACTATGTCAAGTAAAAAAAAAATCTAACCTGACAACCCTATGAGCAGGATATAACTAGTTGCTATTGTAAAGTATGTACTGAAATAATGACTGCTGCTCATTCTTGTCCATTATTCAGTTCAGAACATTCAGAATCCACCTTGTGTGTCAATCCCAAACCAGCCCTGTTGGACACCTCTACATCAATCTACAAAAAGCTATGGTGAAGATTTCCTAATATTTATCTGCTCTAGAGAGGTTCCCTACTATGGCTGATCTACCAATATCCCATCCTCTGCAGTCTCACTATGCAACTAAGTGATGAGAAGGGTTTTTTACTCTTTGGTTGATTTCACACACACAAATTTTCAAATCCACACGTACACAAAACTTTAGTTACACACATGCATTTGTGTACATTCTATTTGTATACAAACTTTGAAAAATCAGGGTCAGAACTGAATGAAAAGAGAAAAACCAAAAACTGTTATTGAAAAAGATTACTTTTGTCCTAATTCAGAATATCTGCAATATGAAATATGTGCAGAAGATATACATGAAAATATATCAATGACACACCTCTATTGCTGCAGATTTTGCCATCTGGAGATGTGCATCTTCTCTTGATCTCCCAGGGGGTGATGTCACACTGGAATTCACATTTATCTCCATGCCAACCAGCCTCACAGTAACAGTTTCCACAGTAACACTTTCCATGGCCTTAACCCAAAACAAATTTTATATGGTGAGAAAAAGACAAATTTTAAAAGACCATAAACAATCTAATCTTTTGGACTATTTTTCTTACAAAGCTTTCAGAGTTATGCTCACAATTAGAGCAGTTCTAAAAATAAAGTATTTCTGAATAAAATAAAATTAATACAAAGGTAATTATTTTGTAGTTAATATATTGCCATAATCCTACTTTAAGGAAGAAGCTTAATTAAATTATAAATCTGTAATGTACCAGTCAATCAATAAATCATATTTAGATGTATTCCTTTCACGTGCATTAAACTTATTTTTAAAAATATTTCTGGGTAAATTTAGTACATTTCAAATGTGAAAGTTGCAAGCAACTTTAAATACCCTAAGTAGGGCTCCTAAGCATGTCCACTATGTGATTTCAACTTCCAGGACTATCACTGACCTCCTCTTTCCTCAAATACATTCATGCATACCCCAAAAAGGTCTGAATTAAATTATATAATCTATTGTCTTGAAATGGATGCTGGGGTTGCATGTTACAGACAGTGATCCATGATAGTCTTTTCTCTATGACCTTGGGGTATAGGACTAGAAGCAATGACCTAAAGCTGAAGCAATGAAAATTTAGGTTGGAGGTTAAGAAGAACTTGCTGATTGTGAGGGTGGTCAAATATTGGAATAGGCTTCCTAGAGAAATTGTGAAATCTCCATCCTCGGAGGCTTTCAAAAGCAAGTTAGACAGACTCTTGACTGGGATAGTTTAGTCACAGATGATCCTGCCTTGAGCAGGGGGGGCTGGACTAACTGACCTTCTGAGGCTCTTCCACCCCTACTTTGTGAGGTAGGGACAATGGTCTCAGGAAACCAAAAACAGAATCAAGGACTAATTAAAAACACTGTCCCTATTAAAAAGAGACAATATATTCACAGAAACTGAATATAAAATGTGTGCGTCTAAACTCAAATAAAGATGTTAATAGACTGTTAAAAAGAGAAAACCAGTGAATCAACCAATAAAAAACCCATCCAACTGGATCATAAAGTTGGCAACAGAAGAATGACTTGAGACACAGCATTGGAAATCTAAGCCATACATGATAAATGAAAAGATCCTGCCAAGCAGTTTAAAACATATACTATCAATACCTTATTATGTTCTTATATGCTTTTCCAGCATTTAATCCCAACTCATTGCTCTTGCTTGCCAAACTGTACATGTGCAAACAAAAAGTCTCATCTATCATTAATCCTATTTCATTTAAAGCTAATTAAAGTAATGTAAGTCCCCTCCCCACGGGAGACCTGCCTGTAAATACAATCCTTCACAGGGAGGAAAAGAAAAAATGTATGCATCTGTCACTGAATGGGTACAGCTTGAACCAGCCATGTAGTCCTTTATGCCTACCTTTGGCAACCTACTAGAAGTAGTCTTTCACTACTGACTATGCCTGTACTCTCTCCCTGCTGAGCCTGGGGCCATTACCAAGAAACGCACTTAATCCACTTTTTTCTTTCTAAGTGAATTTAAACCCAGCAATTAGGCTGAATAGATGGCTTAGACCACAGGTGACCAAGATACAGCCCATAGGCTGAATCCCACCCATATTTCCATCAGTCTGGAATTCTGGTTGTATGTTGAGTGGTGTAAACATTAATTGCCATGGCTCCCAGATCTTTGGCAATCATTTCTGCCACTGCTTGTCTTGTCTTTAAATTCCCAGATATGTGGGGAGCCTTGCAAGTCAAATCAAAAGAGCAGTCACATCATCTAGACCACGGGGGGCCTATGGGGCCAGAAATTTGGCAGTGGAGGAGCAGTGGCAGCCACAGCAGGCACCACAGCAATTAACACTGCTGCCACCAAATTCCAGCCTCATGACCTAGATGATGTAGCTCCATGCCCCATATCTGAACTCTGCAGTGACTTCACACCATGAGTCTGGATAAGTTGCACACCACTGGTTTAGACAGTTCCTGAGCCCACATTCCAGTATTGCTCTTACACCCTCTGAAGATGCAGAGCCTGACAGTGGCATTGGGTCACATGCTCATGACCCCTTAAGCTATCTCTATGCTGCCTAATTGCTAGGCTTCTGCACACAAAGAGAAGGAGTGAGTTTTCTGCAGTGGTTTCGGTATGGATCTTGTTTCTTAGCAATGAAACAATACGTGAACAGCCTTTGAGCCAGTCTGGACCCATTATTGAGGGAAGAGAAGCATGGAAAGAAGGCAGCAGTACATCACTCCAAATGCAGCTGGCAGCACAGGAGAAAAGGTTAGATGGTCTACAGAAGTATGAGGGTGTAGCAGACTGGTGGCTTGTAAAGGCTGGTAGCAGGTTGCACACGAGGCTGTAGCAGTCTGCAGGCATTGAGGGGCTACAGCCCAGCTGTGGACAGTGAGACCTGATTGCAGGTCTGGCCAGGAGGACAGAGTGAGCTGGTAAGAATAATTTGCTGGCACAAATGGAAGTTAAAAGGCTCCCGGGAAGAGGAACTAGGGAGAGAGACCTGAGAACTGAGAAAGAGAGAACTACCAGGCTAGTGGCTGCAACACTGGGACAGGGTATCCTCTCAGGGTCTGTGAAAAGATGCAGGAGCTCTGAGCTGGAAGCAGCAGCAGCAGCACCACCACCACCACAGCAGGGAACTCACTGTGGAGGCAGAGAAGGAAGTACTAGTTTGAGTTTGGAGCAATCATGCCTTAAGACTAAAAACCTTCTCTGAATTTCCCTGACCTGCACAGCTGAGGACTTGCCACTGGAGGACTTATTCATAGTTTCATAGTTTCATAGATTTAGGGTCGGAAGGGACCTAGTAGATCTTCTAGCCCGACCCCCTGCCAGGGCAGGAGAACAACAAAACCCCAAAACAAGAAATGGGACTCAAATGAGTCCAGCCAGGTAGGCATCCAGCCTCTTCTTAAAGACCCCCAGGACTTGTGAGCAGGAGTCTGACTAGAAGCTATAGCTGTGAGTTGCCACTACAGGGCTCGTGAGCCAGGACAGGGTCCTAGCCCTGCTCTAGAAGGTGTGTGAGAGATTGGTTGTGGGGAGTAACATGAAAACATGAAGCAGAGTTAATGGAATCAGGGTGGGTAATGAAAGGGGAGGTGAAAAGGAAATGAGGCTGAGGGAAGAGTGGTGAAATGGAAGAAGTCAGCCACTGTTGGATAAAATAAAAAGGGAAAAAAAGAATTAAAAAGGGGAAGTAAATGAAAGAAGATCTTATGTTGTAATAAATTGGGATTTGGGATTAGGGTGTGGGAGGGTGCTGGCTGTACTTCCCAGTTGCGGCTGGGAGGTGGGAGTGGTTAGGGCATGTGCTTTTGGGGGAGTTACTGCCCCTGCCCTAGGAAGGAAGTCCAGTTCATGGAGACCTGATTCAGCCCCCTGCTTTGTTTTACCACCATGACCCCACTCTAAACCCCAGTCCTGGACTCATCGGTGCCTTCTTTATCTGGCTGGCTAGCATGTGCTCTGAAGGCTGCTTCCATGGGGTTGCACCCCTGGGAGTGGGAAGGTCACCGCTGGGGGTGGGAGGGAACATGGGTTGGTGCCATTCCTGGGATGCTGGAAGACTGCAGCTTGGGCTGCTCATCTGTGGGGAGTGGCCACCCATTGATGGAACACAAGCTGGATAACATGGATCAGAGATAAAGCTGCCCTGGAGTGGCATAACTTTAAGCTGCCTAAAGTGTGCTTAAAACTAGTTTCAGGGGTTAATGTGTGGACAACCCAGGGGTTAAGAGTTCCAGGAACCACCTAAAATTAATATGTTTTAGGCGTCTGACATCTACTAAAATGTGGAAGGTTCCAAACATTTTGGACCAGAGGACAAGTATTGACCTTCAAAGTTTTTAGAAAGTCATCTTTATCTTATCATCAAACTTTTAATTGAAGGAGGGTGTACAGTGTCATCACTGTGGGGACTGGGCTTATTTAGTCTAGAGAAAAGGAGACTGAGAGGGGACTTAATAGCAGCCTTCAACTACCTGCAGGGGGGTTCAAAAGAGGATGGAACTAGACTGTTCTTAGTGGTGGCAGATGACAGAACAAGGAACAATGGTCTCAAGCTGCAGCAAGGGAAGTTTAGGTTAGATACTAGGAAGAATTTTCTCACTAGGAGGGTAGTAAAACACTGGAACAGGTTACCCAGAGAGGTGGTGAAATCTCCATTCTTGGAGGTCTTCAAGACTTGGCTACACAAAACTTTGGCTGGGATGATCTAGTTGGAGATGATCCTCCTTTGAGCAAGGGGTTGAACTACATGACCTCCTGAGGTCCTTTCCAACCCTAATTTTCTATGATCAGTGAAGCACAGTACAGAAAGCATTTATATAAAAAATTTCCGCAAGTGATGAATTAGGAAAAAACAAACACTGGAGACATGGGTCAATAGCATGTTTATCCACTTTTACACCAGTAGATCAATATCAATTGTTTCAGGATCATAAACTTTGATTACTAGAGGGGTTAATTTGGTCCCCTACTGGAATAAGGCATCAACAAATGAAACAAGCAGGAATTGAAAGCTAGAAAAAAGCTTTACCATCAGAAATAACAAAGATAAGGGAAATGGAAAAAATCACCATAGGAGAATTTATGGAACATTAGTAGAATATTAATTCGATCAAATTTGATATAGTATGGGCCATTTCATGTAAAAAATAAAATACAAATTAAACCATTGACATATGATTGAAGAATTTCTAGATCATTATTTCAGTTGTGTGATAAACTGGGTTATAACTTTTTGCTATTGCTATCATCATTTAATAGAGGCCACAAGTTCCTTTCTTGCCTGTGGACACATGAGGGAAATTAAACCAACAGAAATTGTTTTGTTCCCTCAGTATATCAATACAGCAACACACACAAACATACTGACATGATATATAAGAATTAAGCAGACTGGGGAGGAGTAAATTCAGTTCTCTCTGGCACACATACACATGCAACTATCCTCTCCTCTCCCCAGAGTTCGAAAAATATTTGCAGCACTTCTTAGATG